TAGATTACTTTAATCCGAAGATAGTTCAATATAGTATTCAACTATTGAGTATTCTTTAAAAAATATTTTTTTTTGTTCATAATCTATGAACATAAACATTAAATTAAAACATTTTTATACAAATCATATTAAATGCACGAATCGAAAATAATCAGTATAATTTACTCACAATTAGTAATAAAGCAATAAAGAAATATGTTAACCAGAACATGTTAATGATTAACGACAGTATAACTCCTTTCATTGAAGCCGAACAGCTTTTTCCTGTTATAAATTTTTATTATCCAAAAAATTTTTTTAAGGGGGTTGTTCTTTTTTTTGTTACAAAACATGCAAGGTATTTGTTTCTGTTTTTCTCGAAATGTATTTATCATAAAGACATGCGGTTTTTTTTAAACAAAAATTACAAAATCATAGAATATTAAGAAATTTTTTAATTATTTTTTTTCGCCGTCATTTTTTAACCAGGGGGCGCCAAAGTGGGCATTGCAAAATCGATCTCGTTTGCGGTGCCACAGATAAATCCGTTGCGCATCGCCTGAAACAAAAAAAAACGAAACTACGTTGAAGAAGAAGTTTTAATCCAGTCCCCCTACCAAAATGAAAGAAAAAAAGCAAGAAGGAAAAAAATGGCAGCTATTTAAAAAAAAAAGTGTCAAAAAAGGCCTTTTTTTGGGACGAGAAGGTTCGCAAAATTTTTTTGCGTAATGTTATCAAGTTGTCTGAGGTAGGGGGACTAGGTATTGCAGTGGTGAACAAATTAAAAAAAAATGCAAGTCGATCCGACTTGTAGTTTTTTTTTAATTTGTGGCACCGCATTGAAAAAAGTCAATTTGAGAAAAACGTATTTAAAGTTTTTAATATAATGTACTAAATACACCATTTAATTTAATGTACGAAATACACCATCGTGTTCAAAGATGCTGACACATTAAAAAGGTCATGTGCATGAGTTATTATAATGAAAAAGAGGCAGCTGGCATACAATAGCTCGCGGAACGATAAAAAAAACGCTTTCATAGGATCATACGTATAGAGATATATATATATCTATAACTTCGTCAAAAAAATAGATATTGAGATGATTTTTTTTTTTAAATAATTCTAAGGTTTTTAGCTTTCATGATATCAAAAAATCTCAAAACCGAAACAAAGAAAAATAAAAAAAGAACAACCCCCTTAATACATTTTGTATCGATATTTTTATAACATAAATTTAAAAAGCAGGCTTTTATTTATATTGCAAAATTATTCTTTATCTGCTCGAGATTTTCTTGATTGCATGAGGATTAAATGTACGCATCTAAATTACGTAACAATAAATATTGATAATAAAATCCAAAAAGCGATAACATTATCAAATTGATAAATCTATAGGATTTTTATATAAATATTATCTTCTTGATATTATTATCATGAATGTGTTGCCTATAACAAATATTTCAGCGTTTGCGATTCAAAATCAATATTCGTAGTAATAGGAGGTAAGAGCAATGCATTGCAATATAATTACATATTCATTAAATTTATGTGATTATTAGTATATGTCTGTTATAAAATTAAAACCGAAAAAAAAACTAAAATTTAAAATAGAAAAGACTTTTAATCTCTGCTCGAAAATCGTTTCAACAACAATAAAAAAATACTATGTTATTACAATTATTACATTGAAAGAGGTTTTTATATTTAGAGATACACTACATGTAAATAGCATTTTATGTAAGAAAAGTTCATGGACTTAACTTACACCTAATAACTTACATCTACTAGACCCATACCGTTATCAAAAGTTAATAAAGCTAATTCCCAACAGTGACAATTTAAATCAATAAAAATTTCTCATTGTATTAGGATATCCTGAAAAAACAAGAGATGAAGGATTATATCACAAATTAAAAAGAATCGGTTAGGTCAATTTTCATAAAAGAAACTTATAATAAATGATTATTATGTTTTTTCACATGTTATATTTTACAATCTTATATTTCACATGTGAAACTTATGATATTGAAACTTGTTAGAATTTTTAAAATAAGAAAAAGTGTTTAAATGTTATAATAAAACGGTCTGGCGTAGGCAATTAGAAAATAAGATTTTTAAAAATATTTCAATTCTTGTTTATTAACTGAAAGCAAAATCTTGCAACCATTTTGGTAATGATTTGACACCAGTCAGTTTCATATAAAAGTTGTATGTATATTAACAAATTTCATTAGCAATACATCGTTCATATATAATATAATGATGTTAAAACCTGCTGCGGCAGTTCATCATTGTCATGAAGTTTAAGCGACTTTGACATAATTTTTATTACGAGTATGAACAACATATATAAGATATCAAACATGGTATGAAATTGATGATCATATTAACATTGCAAATTTTAAATATAGCTAGTTGTAAATAGTGAATAATACATGGTATAAAATTTACGACCCTATTAACATTTCAAATTTTAAATACTGCTAGTAGTAAATAGTTTATTGAAGATTTTAATATATGCATATGTGCTATTTTCTTGTGTGAGCATTGCTGCAGCATACGTATGTGCAGTGGGGGCTTAGCTGTAGTAGCAGCATGCCTCTTAAAGTATCCATTAAAAAGAAGAAAAAAATGTAATAAAATAAAGGAAGAAAAGTTATTAGTTATTATAAACATAATACATTTTAGATGTTTTTGTCGACGTTAATCATATTCTTGAAATGTTTATTTGCAGTCAAATAGTCGAAATAAAATGCAATACATAATTAACTATTTGTTATGTATGTTTCGACACTGTATGTGTATCATTCAAAAAGTTTACAAATTCAAACTAGTAAAAACACACACAAGGAAGACATTGTTTAATAAAAAAAAAATCAATAAAATAAAATAATAAACTAAGCGTTAAATAATAAAATTATTTAGTTAGTCACATAATTGACAAATTGTAAATGAATTTGTTTACTCTTAGGGTGTAAATGAAAATTTCAAGAATATATATAATATATACATAACAAAAATAATCGCCTGGATAGCAAGCAAGTCCAGGTTATTGTCTCTAGTCTAGAGTCTAGCTGATAAGACCCTCGTGAAATAGAATCGTTTGTTATAGTCAAACTTCTGACAATGAGGCGAATCGAACTGGGGTCTGGGGTGAAGAAAACGAATTGACTTTTACGAAAATCTCTCAAAACATAATTTTAGAAACAGCTATAAATTAAATTCTATTTTTTAGGTAAACATGTATTCTCGCTTACTTAGTTCTTAACACTTTGCCGTCCGCACGTCTCTTAAAAATTTCTTCGCTTGGCGACGGTAGTGCTAATTCGTTTTTAATTTTTTTTTTTAATTTGAATATTTGCTTTATTTGACTTAAGGGGCACAACCAGTGTAACCGCCTAAAATAAAGGTGATTTTTGGGAATTTATATTAGAAAAACTACTTCACCAATCATTTCAAAATTCAAGGAATATATTTATACATGTTTTAAGAATACACAGTGAAATTTTTGAAAAAAAAAATTAAATATTTTTTTAAGTTATCGTCGATCTCCAACGGCGCAACAAAAAAAGGCTCTTCACTGCTGCAGTGATTGCGGCCTTCTACGTGGATGAAATTAAAAAAAAAATCTTGTTAAATTAGATAATATTGTCTGTAAAATGAACTATGATAAAGAAAAAAAATCGAAAATTGACAAAATGACGGCGTTCTTTTAAATAAAAGTCGAATTTTACCGAAAATTTTGGTCGTTTTTGGACTGCCAAAATTCGATTTTTGATCCGATCAAAAAATCGATAGTTCATTTTACGGAGAACTATATATAGAGCATGTAAAAAAAAATTTAAAGTGATCGGATCATTTGTTTTTGAGAAATCGCTGCAGCAAATTCCGAAAATGCCGTTTCGAGAAAAACGCGTTTAAAGATTGAATGATCGTTATACTATATAGTATATACTGTATAAATACTCTTCAAATGGCTGTGACTCAAAAACTGTTTAAGATATCGATTTAAAATTTTGGTATGTTATTTTTAAACGTATATCTTATCGAAATATGGAAAAATTGAAAATTCAATTTTTTGAAAATTTCACACTAGTTGTGCCCTTTAAATATATACATTGATTTTTATATAAAGATACAAATTGTATACACCTATTCTGGGAATATCATTATACTATCATAATATAATATCGTTTGCATATATATATATATATACATATATATATATATATATATATATATATATATTTGTTATTTAGTTATTTGTTTCAATTAACTTATATAAGTATGAAAAGTTAATTCGTCTTACTTTGCTCGCGCTGGATATTATCGAAAAATTATAAATTTTTAGGTCTTATTAATATTGACGGGTGTAACTATTTGTTACATGAATAAAACACCAGCAGAATGGAAAGATTTCTAGCTCAGGTCAAAAACACGATACTGAGCTCATGACATCACTGCCGGACGGCATAGGGTTAATAATAATCAGTTAATAATAAACAGTGAAGTAATATCTATTTCCACTTTAAATCGTTCTATCCGGTGAATTTTGTCGATGTCCTTAAATTCGCATGTACATGATATAATTTGTTTATTGAACTGGTCGCACTTGTTCACGTTATTGTCAGCAGCGAAGTCTCGGTAATCAAAGTGCTTAGAAAAACATAAAAGTTTGTGGACGGGGGCTGTTTACATGGCCAAATGTTAAACAATTATGAATCAGTGGTCAGCGACGGCGAGACCTACATTTTGATAAGGTGTTAAAATATAGATTGAAAATGTGATTTCCATTGAAATAGCTGATATGCTCAATGCCACTTGAAATGGCATGGGAAATCCTACTATTCTCTGAGATAGTAAGAGAGGTAGAGTTGACACCTCTTATCTTGGTTATATATTGTTCATCATTTTCGTTGCGATTATTTTTGTATCAAACGATAATTTGATCATTTTGCATCAAGCAACTTAAAAATTATTAGTAGCACATGACATTAACAATTGATTATTTGTTTTAGCGGAGGAGGCACGATGCAAGTAGCTGCTAAGATTTTCACAGCCATTTCACTAACATTAGAAATTCTTCTGCTTATTTTGCGAGTTTTCTACGAAGCAGGGTATGCCATCTTTAGAAAATTCGTACCTTTCGAAGAAAGGCCGGTTGTCGGTGAAATTGTATTGGTAAGTCATCCAGGTACTAAAGGACATCACCTGACGTCGAACAATAATTTCAATATTACATTCTGAATGTAAATGACTCATTGGAATTAATATATGTTTTAATTACGAACGACACCGAATTATACTTTCAGTCTACATTTGCTTGTACGTTTTTCTAGATATGTTATTTGTGAAACGAGGAAACGCTTTTGACTAATTCAGCATTTATATTACTTCTTTGTCAGAAAAAATAAAGATTTTGCTACAAAGAACTGCGTACTCTAAATATAGAAAATAATTATTGAAATACGGTAAACTAATAACATTTTGCCGATTCGTACACCTCACTCAATTAATAAAATTTATTGTTGCTATTTGTTGGCAAAACGATATCATTATATTGCAATTCGTTTCTATTTTATATCTGCAATGAACAATTTATGAATTCGTTAGTTTTTTATTGTGGCTTTTAACACTAACCTCATTTAGATCGTATTCTAATAATTTCGATTTGATCATTTTCAAGAGTAACAACTACCGAGTATTGCTGCTCATACGTTATTAGTGTTGCACAACAGATCTAATTACATGTTAATTGGGAATTACAATAAATTTTGTTCAATTTATTATATATATGCAAGGACTTTATACTATCAACAATTTATTTTTTCATAAAACTAGTTTAAGTTACTAAACCAGATGAGTCACGACTACCTAATTGAGTTTTAATTATGACACCGGTTCTGCAAACTGCGAACTATTTACTCATATGAACTAGATGCGATTTTTTGTTTTGAAAAAAAAAATGATGGACTAGTTACAATATATTATTATGCATAATTATATAAGATTAATAATTACAGTAAGGTATCGTGCGTCATTTTTGGTCGCATATTTTTAAGAGTAAAGTCGACGTAGCGATGATAAATGAGATGAATGTTATTTTTACTTTATCAAATAAATTAATTATCGATCATTTGATTATATATATATATATATATATTATTGAAAATTCAAAATGCATCTTCGTTACGTTACAGATTACCGGTGCGGGTCATGGAATAGGAAAAGAAATGGCGCTGCAATATTCAGCTTTGGGTGCCACCGTGGTCTGTTTAGATTTAAATAAACAAAATAATGAGCAAACAGTGAATGAGATCAAATCAAATATGGGAAAAGCACATGCATACGTGTAAGTAATTAATTATTTGTTACTGATTAATTGTGATCATCTATGAGATACTCCGTCAGCTATAAATAAGGTTATTACACTATTCTAACGTACCATTACAAATTTAGCTAATTGGTGTCCAAAGCCATATATAATTGGAACTAGCCTGATATTTAAATGGTTTTTATGGCATTAAAGGAAATTCAGATAAATGCGATGTACGAATTTTCAACTCTCTACCTCCTCATATGGTCGAGATATCAATAAAAATATTGGTATATTTTATGCATCTCGTTTTGTTCAAATTATTTTTTGCTGTAATCCTAAAAAAATGTATTATTTATAATATACTTTTAAATTTTTCCCAAACAGCATTTAAAAGGATGCATGAGCCGTTTAGCAGAGAAGGAGCGTATATAGCACAACGCAAACACCTTTGTTTTAAACAACAGAAACTATATAAAAGAGTTTCAAAGAAATAGTCGAAAAACCAGTTTAACATGATATTATTCCATGATTTACGCATTAATAACACTTGGCCAAGTTACTTTGATATTCAAAATCATGCACTATTTTTTATTTGAAATCTACCACTCATAAATAGATTTTGTATTTTTGCTTTTAACGCATGCTTTTAAATGTTCAATTATTTATGAATATATGAAAAAAATTGAAATTCAAGTTTTGAAGCTTAAAGTCTGTGCTATTATGGTTTAGTAATTGAAAAAATAAGTGATTTAACAATGAGTAAAAACGTATAAAAATATAAAATAAAGTTTATATCTGATAGTTTTTTTCTGAAAGGGACTTTCCAATATTTTCCGATTTCTTTACCACTAATTTTCATCAGCTAATATTATTATAGCTTCTAAGGAGATATATTTTACTAATTATGATTTAGTTATGTGCCGAGGCATGTTAGATTTTGTATCAGTAATTCATTTTATAGCAACGCATAAAAATATTTATCACATTAACGAGCTGCCTGATATTTTAGTTGTGATGTTACAAACAAAGAACAAGTTCTTGAAGTCGCCAAGCAAGTACAAAAGGAAGTTGGAGATGTTACGATCCTGATCAACAATGCAGGAATTATGCCTTCTCATGCTATGCTGGACCATACCACAGAAGAAATAAGGAAAATATTTGATATCAATGTATTTGCACATTTCCATGTAAGTACATTACACACAGTATTACAATAAAAATCAAAGACATGCAATAATTTAAACTTTAAACCATAATAATCATTTCGATATACAGTGAAATAAAAATTGCGAATCTATCTAACTCATGAAACGTTACGTAACTTACGTATCATAAATGTTTGAACAATATTTAAAAGGGTTATAATATAAGAAAATAAAACTGAGAATGAGAAATTTGTAATAATGAACATTTGCTTCATATAAAAACTAGGTGGATTAAATAACTTCTGTAAAAAAAATCTCCCAGACTTTCGAATCATCGTAATCCCATCTGCAAATTCGCCAAACTCGTCCCAAGACCAATTATTTACATATTTATATAGTGTGAGCCGACCATGGATGCGTGGAAAGAAACTGTTTTGCAACCACTTTGGCAAGCTTGATATCAAGTATTGTAGGGATATAAAATTATATGAATGACAGTAATGGATTAACAAGGGACGTTATAGTTGGTAATCACGTCCCTCGTTATGAAATTATTAATAAAAATTAGATCATAAGTTGGTTGTCTAAATAAATAAACAACTTGAAAAACCTTATTAATTATAATATATCATTCAGATGTTCGAGGCGTACTTGCCAACAATGATCAAGAAGAACAAAGGTCACATTGTCGCTTTGTCTTCGATGGCTGGCATTGGCGGTTTTCCGAACCTCGTTCCGTACTGTGGTTCTAAATTTGCTGTACGAGGTTTAATGGAAGCATTACACGAGGAACTTCGCGAGGATCCCAGGCAGTTGAAAGTATGCAACGATTTTCTTATTGTTAGACTGCAAAGTTAAATTAATCAATCCATTATTAATTCATGGTTAACATTTAAGTTAACATTTAAGTTGTTGGTAGAAAATACATTGCAGGTTCGACAGTGTTTGTGCCATTTTGTAATATGGTATAACACTCAATTTTCAATTAAGGTTTTGTAATATAACACTTAAACCTTAGAAATTATTCACCGTTTAATTCCAGAAAGAGATTAAAGTTCGATATTTATTTTTAATGATATTTACTTACTAATTACTAATGATATTATAACCAGTCACAATCGTTTTTAGTCGTCTTTGGTTCTTTGACTACAAGTAACATAGTTTTTCATCAAGTAGGAACTCTAATAACTTATTTATTAAGGAAACCATATAGTGTGGATAAAATGACATATAGGGTACAGACAAATTGTGATGTTAATTTTTAAGAAAGCAGTTCACAAATAAATCGCTTGGTTCTCTTTGGAACATCAGCATATGAAGCATAAGCCCAGAGGGAACAAATTATACATCGTAACCAATTTTTGCCGGCTCAGAACGTTAAAAGAGATCTTTGCAATAGATGCAAGTCTCTTGTTTTAAGCGGTGATTTCTGTGGACTGCTTTTAGAAGCAGTTAGAGTTGAAATTAAAAGACAATCACCTTTGGCAGGTTTTCATTTTTTTTTCGGTCTGCCGTATAGCGCTTACAAAATAGTAGTGTCATTTTGTCCATTGCATAAGTATGTCATTTTGTCCGAAAGTGAAAAATAAGAATAAAACACCAAAAAACCACTCAAATACCTGATTATTGCTAGTAGTAAATTGATAGTAGACACTTGTACAAGCATAAGCTTATTGAATTTGATAGAAATAATTACAAATATTAATGAAATTGACTTCCAAGTAAAATTTTGAAAACGCTATGCACATTTGAATTGATTACTGCGGCAAGAATGCGACAACGACGCTCAACGTATAACAATGAACTATATGCTTTATACCATTTTCTGCTAATCTATTTATAATCTAAACTATTCATTATCAAATTTAAATGTAAAATAATTTTTGCTATATTTAAAGTGTTGAAAAAAAAATTGTACTAAGTACTATTCCTTTTACAGATCAAGTTGACCACAGTTTGCCCTTATATGGTAGATACAGGACTTTGCAAAGTTGTGAAAATACGTTTCCCGGGTTTCATGCCAATGGTTAATCCTAAAAATTGTGCTAGTGCTATCATAAAAGCTCAAAGGCAAGGAATTGAAGAAATAACAATTCCAGGATATCTGTTGCATTTAAATAATTTCGTTAGGTGAGTATATAACTTAGTATTGATAAATCAGTTATTACTATTACTATTTTACTACAGTTATTACTATTGCTATTACTATTTGAAACACTTTTGATTTTTAAGCTATGGTGCTTAAATTTTTTTTTTATGTTATGTTCTCGAACTGAAGCTTTTTAATGTATTATAAATATGAGCAAAAGTTGAACCATTGCTAACAAAATTTAAAGGAATGTATTATGCGTAAATGATCAATCATTTTCTATACTATGAAAAGATCATCTCTTATTACTCATAACTTTTGACTTATTGTGTAATGATAATCTTACCTTAATACTCCCACATATAAATTTTTCTTAAATTCCAGATTGTTCCCCATCAAAGCTGGTATTTTGATTAAGGACTTCTTTGATAGTGGTGTTGGCTCAGATTTGCATCTGCAATAATAATACAGTGGTTTTAGTGATCTATTAAAGATGTATTATAAATGAATAGGTTACAAACAATTAATATTCATTTGATTGCCTTGTGTTTCACTACTCTATGATATTATCGTAAGCGCAAAAATATATTTTAAGATTGTAATATTTTTATATAAAATTGTGTACATAGTTGTTAAATATGTGATTAGTTTACATTATCATTGTTATGCATGTTCATATGAAAGTATGTCATAATAAATCATAATAAAATCCTATTAATGTTTGGAGAAATCTTTGAAACAAATTTATGTGCACTATATGCTGTAATATACATATATATATATATATATATATATATATATATATATATATATATATATACATATCATTTCAAAAAAATACAAAAATTTTAAATCTTGAATGCTACTCAATGCTGCATATTAGTTTTTCTGTTAATCAAATACTCATATCAGATGACTGCGCAAAATTATTATATTCATAAACATAGTTATAAAGTTATAAAAACAGTATCTAATGATATTTTGTAAAAAAAAGAATATTATAAGAATTTTTACATATTAGTTCAATAGTTTGCATTTGATTTGCATCATACAGCAATTATGATTTAAATTATAGATCTGTCTATTATTTCCTCATATCTGAACAAGTCTGCATAACATTAATGAATTCTTACACAAATTTCAATTTTGCAAATAAAAACTACTTACTTTACTTATATTTAAAATTTAATATATATTTTCACAAATATAGCAAATTCTATATTTGTAATGCTTCATAAAACATATATAAAACTCTTTTCCGGATATAGTGCATAATAGGTAAGTATTTCCAATCCAGTTAACCACAACAGCCTAATAACATATATAAAACAATAATATAATTACATATATTACAATATGAATATATTATATTCTTTTATTGTTTAGGTAATATAACTCTATCGTGTATGGAAATTTGTTGAAGTATGATATTATGGCCCTTCAGTTTATAGTATAATCCTGATGCACAATTGAAATTTTTAATAAGATACATGTTATTATTAAGTTTATAAGGTAGATCCAAACCTCCTATTAAGTATATAAGATAGATCTAGAAAAACATAGTCAATAATCCTCTAGCAAAAATCTATGTTTATATAGAATTGAATGTTATAGTAGATCTCTTATCAAGTATATAAGATAGATCTAGAAAAACATAGTCAATAATCCTCTACCAAGAATCTTTGCTTATATCGAATTGAGTGTTAATAGATCTCTTATCAAAAGTATATAAGATAGATCTAGAAAAACATAGTCAATAATCCTCTAGCAAGAATCTATGCTTATATCGAAGTGAATGTTATAACTATATATAGTAAATTAGAAATATCAATATAATGTATGATTACTAATAATAATTCAAATCTCAATCTCAATCATCAAACACTAACAAAACAATTATTTATTGGAAATAATATGCATTATAAAAATACAAAATATAAGTATACTTACATCAGCTATAGCTGATTATAGATAAGGGCTTTATACTTATATATCTATGGGGGCTTACCTGAACAATGTTGATTTTTCATTTTTTCTTCAACTGGCATACTTATAAATGCATAATTATAAAACTGATATAGTTTCAGCAAGTTTAACATAGCAAGACAAGAAACAGAAAAAGAAATAGTTAACACAATCTAATAACTATTATTATAAAGTTTAAAGGTAAGCTTTATACTGACTGTTCTTTCAAACAAGAATCAGTGTATCGATAATATGGTTCGATATGAAGAAAAAAAATTAATATGAATAATCTATATAAATAAAACAATAAATTAGAAGATTTATCATTATTCAAATTGATGACTTCACTAAATAGATTCAAACTGTCTACTACATTCAACAACAATTTTAAAATTGATAAATATCGAACGTATTTTTCGATCGTGTTTACTGTTGTGTATGAAGTTGAGTATAGATAAATAAGCATGAAGTTGAGTATGAGTTGAGTTATAAACTTCAAAAATGCTGAATGTTGGCTACCCTTAGTTACGACAGTATAATTTTCGAATAAAAATTGGTTATAAGTTTTTATAATAAATTGAAAGTATTGAAACATTTCAAAAAATTAATTTCAAATTTATTGACTTTAAATACGTACAATAATTTTTGAATAAAAAACGGTTATGAATTGAAATTATTGTGAACACGTCAAAAGTTCACAGTTAGTTTAGTACAAAAACCAAATTTTCTTTTTAAAGTTTTATACAAAACCAAATTTCCTTTCAAAATATTAGTGACTTTTAATACTGTGAATTGACTGAGCGTAAGTAATCATTTATTTGTTTTCGAAATAGTTACAGTTTCCTTCATTTTAAAAACACGCAATAATCTAAACTTCAATAGTCATTTAACTTTTTCGTGTCACCTTCCTTAAGCCTCTTTCTGCTTTCTGGTTGCCATGTCTCCTAGACCATATGAGAATATAATATACTCATAATATATTATGGTAATGCCCTTTTGTTTTTGAATTTTTAGGCCTATTTTTTTATTTAAGTATAATAATAATTTAAGTGTATTAAAATTTAGATATGTTATTAATAATAAATTATATTTCAGGAATATCAAGAATATCAAGTAATATTATTTGGATACATGAAAATGAAATTATTTTGAAGACAATTTAGGCAAGTGTTTAGTTAACTGATGCAAAAGATATACTATATGTAAGAAATAGTGAAATTTTGAAATAAATACTATACACATTACAAACACGTAAGTAAGTGTGTTGCTTTGCAAATATTCTATAATTGTTGATCTGAATGGCGTACAATTAAAAAATATTTGACTCATTATCAAGAATCATTCATAGCTTTAGTTATGAATTTACCAAAATCAATTATTAGTACTGCTAAAATGAATTTTTGAATTATACTATTGAATAGGTTTCTTAAAAATGTTTGATCTATATATATTGTGAATCAAAAAGAGTACACGTAAGTAAGTAAGTTGCTTTGCAAATAAGTCATGTATAAATGTTGGTCTGAATAGTATACAATTAAAAAATATTTTACATATTGCCAAGAATCATTCATAGCTTTAGTTATGAATTTACCAATATTGATTACTAGTACTGCTAAAATGAATTGTTGAATTATACTATCGAATATGTTTCTTAAAAATGTTTGATATATATATATATATATATATATATATATATATTTTGATGAGTTATTTAGAATCGGGCAGTAACACCAAGTAAAGAAAAAAAAACTAAAGTAGTTTTTAAATACTTTATTTATCCATACGTTTCGGTCTTCATCGAGACCGTCATTCAGTGGAAAACTAAAAGATTTTATATGATGTAGGAGGCAATAATATAAAGTTATAACTTATATATAAGTACTTACAGAATTAATTATATAAAAATACACTACACTATTACACTGTGATAACCAGGCTATTAATAATTGGAACATTTAAACTAATTAATTTTTTAGACAATTTTTTCTTACATTCTAGTGTGTACAAATTGACTAACGTCTAAAAACTGAATGAATTGTGTTTACAATTTTTTTGAGAAAGTGTAAAAAAGACCGGCAGACATATGTTTTTTGTAAAATAATAAAATAATAAAAATACACGCTTCATTCAGATGTGGTGGTGTTTTTGAAAATAGTCGAGAGTTATTTTATAGTCATTGCAAAGCGAATTGTTGTCAGTTCTTAAATTTATATGTACGATCCTACATTTCGAAAATAATTTATTTAAAAGACGATTTAGCGAAGGTTGCTTAATATCTTTACACAAGGATACAGCCATAAATTTAAGAACTGACAACAATTCGCTTTGCAATGACTATAAAATAACTCTCGACTATTTTCAAAAACACCACCACATCTGAATGAAGCGTGTATTTTTATTATTTTATTATTTTACAAAAAACATATGTCTGCCGGTCTTTTTTACACTTTCTCAAAAAAATTGTAAACACAATTCATTCAGTTTTTAGACGTTAGTCAATTTGTACACACTAGAATGTAAGAAAAAATTGTCTAAAAAATTAATTAGTTTAAATGTTCCAATTATTAATAGCCTGGTTATCACAGTGTAATAGTGTAGTGTATTTTTGTATAATTAATTCTGTAAGTACTTATATATAAGTTATCATATAAAATCTTTTAGTTTTCCACTGAATGACGGTCTCGATGAAGACCGAAACGTATGGATAAATAAAGTATTTAAAAACTACTTTAGTTTTTTTTTCTTTACTTGGTGTTACTGCCCGATTCTAAATAACTCATCAAAATATATATCAACACCAAACTCACATATTTCAAAATATATATATATATATATATATATATATATATATATATATAGTGAATCAAAAAGAGTATAATCTTGATGTTAAGCTTTAAAATGTTAATGTGCGTTGTACATCCTTAGCATAATTTCAATCAGAAAGGGGGCATGGTAAAGGGGACATGAGTGATGTGCGGACTGGAAACTTCTTGATTCAAATGATTTGGATTAGTAAAAAACCTGATTCAAAAGGCAAAAAGGCCTTATTGATGTATTTATTTAGTAAATATGTAAATGATGTAATAATCATAAAAATATATATATAAAAATTAATAAAAATGAATTCATTCTGAAGATGGCTAAAATATAGTTTCAAATTAATTTACAATAATAGATAACCAAACACTTTCGCATCACTAAAGCATTTAAAACAACATTTGGCTTCTAGGGTTGACGGTGTTTATTTTATTTATATAAACGAAGAGCTGAATGTAAAGTGAATTTAGAGTAACTTAAATGATTCGGTTCAATCTGATAATGATCATCAAGTAAAATGTGATTTAAATCAGGTTGTTAAGGGCCTGATTGGGATGATTCGAATCACTTGATTAACAGGCATCCATCCAGATAATACATAACATATATATATATATATATATATATATATATATATAATACATACATATATATATATATATATATATATATATATATATATATATATAAATTATGTATAAGAAGTACTCAGTTTAATTTGTAATGAACTAGCATTCATTGATGCCTTATGACATCTTTTGATAATCTGTTTATCATAGTACAGAGTTGGATCAT